TATGTCATAATAGAACCCACGTGGACCAAGCTTTACTTTCTTCCTGACTGAGTTTTTAACTCTTCTTTTTCCTTCATTGCCCTCTGCTTGAAGTTGTTGCATCTTTGCATTATGTTCATCTAGTATGTTGCAAATTTCCCATGTCCTTTTTGCCTTTTGGCTCTGGTCGCCCATCTCAGGTAACCTATATCCTAGAAAGAGTTTGTCATAGTCTGTATTTGAGTCTTCGCGTATTGTTTGCATGACTCTTTCCTGAGTTTCCGGTTCAAGCTCTTCAAACAGTGCCTGTCCATATGGAATAAGCTCGTTTCCAAATATATGTTTTTGTAGCCATTCTGGTTTTCTTTCCATGTTACCAACTATATCTTTTGTGAATGGGAAAGCTTTTACCCAATCTTTCAGTCTTGCGTCGTTTATTTCTGTAGTTGGTTTTATTTTGTCAAGGAACATGTTTTTCAATACTAACATTTCATTTGGTACTGTCCATTTGAGTTTTCTTAAATATTCATCCCTTCTCGGTTCATTGTCTGCAAAGTAAGTTTTTATGACATTTTGTAAACTTTCGTTTGCAAGGTCATGTACAATAGGTTCTCTTCCTTCTCTCCCTAACTTTCTTTCTAAACTCTTCACCAAATATACCATCTCTATGGTTCTGTGTAGTTCTTTGAGATAAATGTTCTAGAACGTCAGGTGTTATATTTCCATCAGCCATGTTCATTTCATACTGGTCCAAAATATCTGCATGTTTCATATCTTTCAATGGCATTAAAGCCGCGCTTAAAATACCAGCTATATCTGGTTCACCATTGACTTCCATTGCGTCTACAACTTCTTGGAATTGTGGTTGTAAGTTTATGAACCACCTATCCGGATTAGCTTTATGACCCCATCTCATTGTAGTTCCATCGTCTGCAGAAACAAAAGTAGGTTTGTTTCCATCTTGGTTAGGTTCTGAATGAACTTTAAACAATGTTTCATTTCTATATGTTTTCTTGAAATTTAACCTTTTATTTTCACCGAGTTCATCCGAAGATTGAACGTTAAATGCTCGTAAGTAAAAAGGGTTGTTGTATTTGTGTACATTTTTTTCAGTTCTTCCATTCTATGCTGAATATTTTCATCTGTGTTGGAGTCTTTTGTATGTCGGCAAACATTTTTCGATATTCTTCTACTATGTCAGCCGAATTTTTTTAGACTCTTGGAAATATTCCATATTCTCCGCATACTCTTGTTGAGGGTCAAGATTTTTCGGCTGTTCCAAATCTTCATCTAGTTCTGTGAAGTTAGTTTCCAAAGGAGTGACTTGTTCGTTTCCTTCAGGCTCTTCTAGCTGTTGTTGCTGAACTATTTCTTCCATGTCTGGTTGTATCTGAACTTCTTCCTGTGGAGTTTCTTGTACCTCATCTGCTGGCATTTCATATATTCCGAGACCGTTTTCAACAATTTCCCTATCTACGTCATCCGCATTCATAAGCTTTTGTTCTTTCGTTCCGTCTCTATTTTTTACGCGTTTCATGACGAAAGTTGAATTGTCATTTAGCTCTGACATCAAATATCTCGGAGTAAATTCATCCATGTCATTTGGATGATATGCTATTAAATCATATCCCTTAGCGAGCTTGTATTTTCCAGGTTTGAGATTATATCCGTTTTGGTGCTGAGCCATAAAGCTAAATAGGTTCGGGTCAGTATTTCCATCCTTGAACTTTCAATAGCTTCTTTATATCTGTCACTAAAGTCAACAGTATCTGGGAAACCACACTCTTCTTTAAGCATTTTTAAGAATTCTTGGTTTCCTTGTTCTCTACTTCTTTTATGTCCTTGCTCTGTTTGTGGTTGTTGTTGTGCAGTGTTTTGAACTGTTGGTTGTGCTGGTTTTGAACTGTTGGTTGTTGTGCAGGGTTTTGAACTGTGTTGTGCTGGTTTGGTGTTGTTGTGCAGGGTTTTGAACTGTTGGTTGTTGTGTTGGTTTTGGTGCATGCCTGTGTCTGTGTCCATGTGACGATGTAAATGTTTTAGGTAGTCCTGGTGCAGGTGCTTCTCTTGGAGGGTTTGGTGGTATATAAGTTCCACCAGCTGGCACATATGTTCCATCTGCAGCGTAATGTCCTACCTGACTTTTCGTTTTAAGAAAGCATTTACTAGGTCTGTTTTGGTCTGTTGTAACTCTTTTTCTTGACTTTTCACAACAGTTGCTCTAACGGCGTCATAGGCACTTTGAACTGCCTGTCTCGTTGCTGCATCTGTTATTTTCGTCATATTTTGTGCTACTTCTTTTAACTCTTTGTCGAAACCTTCAGACTTCAGTTTCTTTCCAGATGAGAAGTCGTTCACTTGTTTCACCTTACTATGAAGAGCTTCGAAGGCGTTCTTAAAGTCAGCATTGTTAAAGCTTCATTTGAACTGTCTTCATCCGCTTGTATTTTTGTCCTTATTGACCCTATAAGTTGGGCTGCTTTAGCGTTGGCTTGGGCATCTAACCAGTCATTGTTAGCTTTTATATATTCTGCGCTTTTCATTGCCTTTTGCAGCTGCGTCGTTATTTTTACTTTCTTGTGCTAAGTTTTCATACTGTACGGTTTGGTTTTGCAACTGTAAAAGTTTTTCTGCCTTTACATTTGCTTCAACTTCTTTTTTATACTCATCGCTATCCATATATGTCTTCAGGGCTTTTTGTTTTATTCTTCATCTTTCAGTACTTTATATTGAGTAGTATGGTTTTTCAAATTTATGACATCTTGTTCCATTTTTGCTACTTCTGCTGCTTTTTCTGACACTTTTTTCGCATATTCCTCTGTACTTAGTTCTTTCAGTTGTTCTTCTTTCTTCTTTTTCTCTACGTTTAACTCATTGAGTTTCTTTGTGTGTCTGTCATATTCTAGTTTCTTTTCGTTTTCACTTATTTGTTTCTGTATGTCTATGTTTGACTTTTTGACATCTGTTATTTGATTTTTGAGTGAACTCAAATTCATTTGACTTTGAGGGTTATAGCTGTTCCGTCTGCAGCTCCACCATAGCCTGCCATTTTCGCTAAAAGTGCCGCTCTTAAACCTCCACTCTGTGCACCAAAACTCGGTTTAAAAGCATAGGATTGCTTGACATTTGTTGCAACATAGTGGGGTCATTCAGCATTTGTTGTTGCAACTGTTGTTGTGGTGTCAGTTTTACTATTGGATGTTTCAATGCTCTCTTCCTCTTACGTATATTCTTACGTAGCTTACGTGGCATTTTAAGTGAAGTTAAAAAGCGGTTTTTGACAGATGTTTATATGACACTTTTGTTCAGCACAAAAAACTACTCGGTCAAAGTGTTGTCAGTTTTGTAAAATAACCGTCCTATCTCATTCTATAAGGGGAAAGGCTTCTCAAAGTATACTTCCTTGGAACGCCTGTAACTTTTCCTGTAGCGACGATAGACCCTTACTTGTCCGGACAAAGTTATACTATTTTGAGTGCTCTACAAAAAAGTCAACGGCGACGACTCTCAAAAACCGTTGTGTAAAAAGTTTTACCGTTGGACAAAAAAGTATATATAGAAAACAAAAAACGTTTATAGTTCATTCAATATTTGAGATGGAACGGTTTGCCAACGGTAACTATTAAATAAAATAAAAAAATAGAGGGGGTTACCGTTGACGAAAACGGTTTATTTTAAACTTTTCTATGAGTAGTCCGAAAAAAACAGTTTATTTTTGTCTAATGGCATTCGCTAGCGTGTTCGCTCCAAATTCACCTGAAGAAATTGCTTGCAAACTTTCAGCACCCACAGGTTTAGAGCCTCAATATCAAACTGCAGCATCTACACATTCTCCAAGCAGAACAGACAATTCGCTCAATCCAAAGCCACTTTCACTACCAAAAACAATACCAAACGAGCTCCGTATTACAAAGAACCACAGCAACGCTGAACTACGCAAAATACTACTCAGATTGTCTGAAGAATACTTCAATTCAAAGCCAGAAGAAAGAGTTCCTGCAACTTTTAACAAAGAATATTGTGAACAACTCAACAAAGTTCTTGCAGACTTTACCAAACTACAAAAAGAAACACCTGACCCATTCGAATTAGGTGACACAATTGTCAACTATTTTCCAACAATAACAAAGATAATGGTTGACAGAACTATATGTCAGCTTATTGAAAGTCTTCCACCCAAAGCTGCAAAACAAGTCGAACAGTTTTGGGTCGAATTCAAATTAAAGAGTTACGGATATCAGGATGACGAAGAAGAACGTGAGTACGGACAAGAAACAGCAAAATGGCAATGTCTTAGCTCACTCAACCCCAAGTTCAAACCATTATTTTACTCAGACAACAACACAATTCAAGTACGCAAAATTGCTATTCATTTCGTTAACCAAGCAGAAGACATTGAAGAAGGAGACTCTATCTCAGTTTATGTTTGCTACTGCAAGTTTTTCAAGGACGAATTTGGAGGACCAATTCTCATGCATGTCTTCAAGCCACGTCAGCAACTCTACGTTGAAACTGAAATAACACTCATGCATGGAATGTATCTCAAGTTTGAAAGCCAATTGGAAAACACATACAACATTTGGCTTTCATACATTCAGTTCGATACACCAGATGACTTTGATGTTGAAGAAGAAGACTCTACTCAAGAAGATGAACCACAAGACTCACCTGATGATGACGAATTTGTACCCGAAGAAGAATAAAATTCAAGAACACCATCAGAAGACGACCAACAAATGGCAGATGCAATGGACAGTCAAGTTCCATGAAACTAAACATCTAATTTTACCTCAATTCCAACTTTTTTTAAACATCTTCAGGGCTAGAAGGGGCGCAGCCCCTGGAAGCCCCACTCCTTTTTTTTTTTTTTTTTTTTGACCCGCTTGTAAAAGTTAACTGAGTATGATTTTCCCTTCAAAATCATCTGACTAATGTAAAACTATCAAAACAACCGATAGAAATTGAACGGGAAAATAAAAATAAAATTCAATTCGACGGTTTTTTTCTATAAATCTAATTCATAAATGGATACAACAGAGCCAGACTATCTTCTTAAGATTGTCCTCATTGGTGATTCTGGTGTTGGTAAGACAAATCTTCTCGCCAGATTCACTCGTGATCAATTCAATCCTGAATCAAAGTCAACAATCGGCGTCGAGTTCGCTTCAAAGACAATGCAAATTGAAGGCAAGACAATTAAAGCCCAGATTTGGGATACTGCTGGTCAGGAGCGCTATCGCGCAATCACTTCTGCTTATTATCGTGGTGCAATCGGCGCTCTCTTATTGTATGATATCACAGCCTCCCTTACATTCAACTCGCTTGAGAAGTGGCTTAAGGAATTGCGTGAGAATGCAGACGAAAAAATCATTGTTATGTTAGTTGGAAACAAATGCGACTTATCAGAGCAGCGCGCAGTTACATCAGCCAATGCTTTAGAGTTTGCTAAGGCCCAAAACTTACTTTTCATTGAAACATCTGCTCGTGAAGCAACAAATGTTAATGAAGCATTCCAAACTCTCATTTGCGAGATCGTTAATAAGCTTAACAAGCAGAATGTTGCAGCCGAAGAGAAGGCCAATGTCCAGGAAACTCCAAGACAAGGTGTTTCCATCACTGCTACAAAGAGCCCAGAAGAGAAGAAGAAGGGATGCTGCTGAACTTATTATAAATATGCTAACTATTACACTTTCATTAAAAAAAAAAACAAAACAAAAATATTTATTTTATATTTATCTTTTAATTTACAAAAAACTTAATGGCTTAATTCATTGATTTAAATTTTCAGTATTCTAAATAAAAAATCTCAATTTTCGAATGCTCTTTCTTTGATTTTTGTTATACATTTAGGTTCTGCTAATGACGACCATCAAACATCTTCAATTCTTTCATTGATAATAATTTTAAAAAATTCAACGGTAGATATTGATGCAATTTATTTATCGAATTCTCATATATCAAAAAAAATGTTTTTAAAGATTCACAAATGTATTTCTTCAAGTTTTGATATTCAATTGATCTATAATATCATTTTCAGCTGCATATTGAATTGCTGTTTTTCCTTTTTCATCATATGCTTCCGTATTTATATTTGGAAGAGAATAAAGATAATTGAAAACATCAATGTTTTTAATATGAGCTGCATAATGAAGTGGGGTTTTATTTTTGTTATCTAATGCATTGATATTAATTTTTTGAAGAGAAACAATGAATTTGATAACTTCGACATTAGTATTTAATGCTGCATAATGAAGGGCCGATGCACCAAAATCATCTCTTTGATTAAAATCATTGGAAGTACCAAGCAATTTAATTACTTCAACATTAGTATTTAGAGCTGCATAAAGAAGCCTATTTTTAGCAAATGGATCATAAATTTTTGAAATTACAGTACGAAAGAATGGGGAACCATTTAATAGTCTATTTCTAGATTGTTCTTGGCATGCCGAATTTACTTGTTTGCAAATACAGATAATAGATTGAGGGCTGTTAGTTGCCCATACATTTGAACATAATGCAATATTTTTGAACATTTTAAAATTGTCCAATTCAATCGCACGTAGAAGTATTACATGTGTTCCTAACCCAGTTGCATGGAAATATCCGTTATTGTATGCAAATTTAATTGAATCAATATCTCCTTCTTCACTTGCTTTTTCAATTATCAAGAAAATTTTATCAGAGTTATTCTTATCCGTTTTCAATAAATATTTTATATTTTTACCCATTTTCGGTTTTTGATTCTTTAAGGAAATCGCTGCATCAGTTATAACTTTTGTATTTAAAATTTTTGAAATGAAATACAAAATTTCAAAAGCATCTTCAAAGTTTTCAAAATGACTTATTTTAGCATGTTGTGAAATGGTTGAGACTTCGGAATATTGAAACTTCTTGCTGATAATTGTAAATGCCCCAATAAATTGTCTTGATGAAAATCTGCATAAATCGAAGATATTGCAAAGCTCTGATGCTGTTTTATTTACATAAAAATCTTCGCTATCATACCATTTCTCAATTTCTTTGGCATAAGATTCGTAATCTGGTGAGCTCATATGAAAGTGAAGAGAGTGTCTTAGATCTCGTAAACGTTTCAATTAATTGAATTATAATAAGACACTTTTGTAAAGCTTAAAATTTATGGGATGTTTTGAGAACAACTCATAGAATTGTCTCAAATTTTAGAAATCAGAAATAAGTGATTAATAGTTGGGAAGTTTATTTCTACAGAATTTTTTTAATTCATATTACTAAAACATTTAATTGCTTCAGAATAATCATTTAGAGCTGCATACATAATTGCAATATTTCCATCTTTGTCTTTAGCTTCAGTATCAATATTTGGAAGGGAGCAAAGATATCCGATAACTTCAATATTAGTGAGAGCTGCATAATGAAGCGGTGTCTTATTTTCTTTATCCTTTACATTAATGTCTATTCCTGGGAGTGAGCATCAACATTTAACAATTTCAACACCACTATTTAATGCTGCATAATGAAGAACAGTTATATTGTATATGTTTCTTGCATTTATATCAATCTTGTTAAGAGAAAAAAAATATTTTATAACTTCAACATCATTATTTAATGCTGCATAATGAAGATTTGATCTATCAAAACGTTCTACAAGATTTATATCGTTACTATCGCGAGTTATCAAAAATCTAATACTATCTAAACTATAACGAGTGTAAATACTTTCAAAATATGCATCATCTTTGACAAAATTATAATCATAAAATTTTATAGAATTTGCCTTCGAAACCTCATATCCATAGCCGTTGACTACTGCAAATTTTATTGTCTTATAATCTCCATCTTCAATTGCTTTAGATATATCTTCTTGACTATTTACACATGTCAATAAATATTTGATATATTTTCCCTGTTTTGTTTTTTGTTTTTTGATATATGATGCTGCATCTGTTATAGCACTGTTATTGAACAGTATTGAAATAACATCAATCACACCAAAAGCTGAATTTTCATCTTCGAAATTTCGAATTTTAGCATGTTGTAATATACTAAATACTTCTGAACTCTTAAATCTCTTGCTTATATTAGTGAATTCATATATAAATTGTTTTATTGAAAAATTACAAAAGTCAAAGATATTACTAAGTTCTTTTGCTGTTTTCATATCATAAAACTCTTCATCGACATACCATCTATCAAAATCCTTTGCATATACTTCATATTTCAAATCCTAAAGTATTTAATTTATCAGAAGGAAAGTTAATGGTTCATCAAAAGAAACTGAAGCAACCATAGCATTATAATATAAAAGTTTTTATTTACCCATATGTTTCCAAAAAAGCCTGGCTGAAGTATTACATATACTTCTAAGTGCATTAAGTTTGTTAGATCCATGAACAACATGGCATTTAACCAGAAGCCTTGGAGAAATTCCTGATTCGATTATCATTTTAATATATTCAACAGATTTATTCTCAATAATAAGAGGACAGCGAATAGATGGACATTCATTGAATGCAAATGATTCAACAGTTTCAACTGAATTAGGAAAATTAATATAGTTAAGGTTTTTGCAGTTGTTGAATGCATATTTTTCTATCAATGAAACACTATCTGAAGTAATGCTGATGTTATTTATGTTGTTGCATTTGTTGAAAGAGTAACTGCATATAACTTTGCAGTTGATAAAAAGAGTTCGATCTAACGAATTGATTGCATGATACATGAGATATTCTCCGGTTTCATTTTTATAATAAAGAGTATTATCAATGCATTTATATTTAGCTGACTCAAAATTACTTATGCTTTGAAGCGAACTGCACCCTGAAAATGAATTGTTCGATATTTTCTCTAAATTATTTATTTCGGAAATCTTGATTGAACTAAGACGATTGCAGTTCATGAATGAATATTCAGAGATAGTTCTAATAGATGATGGAATTCTTATACTCTCTAATGAATAACAATTCTCAAATGATTTATATCCAATAAAAATTGAATTATCTAGAATATTGATATTTCTCAAACTTTGACATCCTCTAAATAGATAATCAGGTATATCTGATATACTGTTCAAATCTACTAAACTTTTACAATTCTCAAATGCATTTTTCTTGACAACTAAATTTGGTGAAGCAAAACTCACAGATGTCAAACTTATGCAATCTTTAAATGATTCTATACCTATTGTTTTCAGTCTATTAGATGAAAAATTTAATAAAACTAGTTTTGAACAATTTCTAAATGCATAATTTTCAATTTCATTGAGCAATGAATCAGTAGTTAAATTTATATAAGGAATATCTGAATTTTCGAATGCTTTTGTTTTGATTTTTGTTACTGATTTAGGTATTACTAATGATTTGAAATTACATCCCCAAAATTCATAGATATATGTCTGTTCAGAATCCATAACCAGCGCATTTGTATCCATAATAAGATTTGATTGACCCAGATATGAAACTGATACATTTGTATTTCTTTTAATTGCATAATAAGCAAAAAAGCATTTGCATGTGAATGACATACTTGCTTTTAACGAGTTCATCGTAATGAAAATAGCATTAACAATCATTGGAGAATCTGGAAAAATAAAGAGTTCGAGTTTTTTGCAATAATCAAATGCCTGGCCACCAATGTAATCAAGAGGCTCTGAAAATTTGACATTTATCAAATAATCACATGAAAAGAAAGCACATGCTTCGATTCTCTTTATATTTTTCGGAATTGTAATTGTAATGAGTTTTGAATTTGAAAAGCAATTACTTCCAATTGTAGTAACAGAGCTTGGAAAAGATATTGATGCAATATTAGAGCCATATAAGCAACTATCCCCTAATATTGAAACATAATTTGGAATAGTAAATATTTCTGAAGTCTTGTCACAAACATAGAATAAAATACTTTTATCTGCTGATAAAATCATACCATTTTCTAATTTTAAGTGTGCGTTATTTGGATGAATTGTTAGATTACCTATTTTATCATCTAATGCAATTCCATTAACTTTGGTGACTTTTTCTGGAATTTGGAACGAAGTAATATTAATACCCCAAAATACTGCACTTTCTAATGAAGTCAATTTTGAACCTTCTTCGATAATAACATTTGCAAGTTTCAGACAGACATTAAAAGTACTTCCACCTAATTTTTCTAAAGATGCTGGTATTATAATAGTTGTTAATAATTTGTTACTTGAAAATACATTATGTTCTATTGTTACAAGTCCTTTTGGTAAAAGTATTTCAGAAACATTTTCACAACCATAAAATGCATAACCAGATATTTTTATAAGTCTTGTGCAAGGTGATAAATTAATAGAAGATAGATTCATACATTCATAAAAACTTTGGTAGCCAATTGTTATTAGGTTAGGATTATACTCAAATGAAAATGAGATTAATGAATTTAGTTGTTTAAAACAGTAATCTTGTATAATCTCGCATTTAGCTGATATTCTGAGATATGGTGATGAATCTGTAACATATGTGAGTATTTTTCCATCTTCTGAATAACTAGTTTGAGCAATATTAGTATAAAGAAGAGCTAAAAGTACACTCATAATAAAACATTTATGAATTCCATATCATGTTCGATCACACTTATACAAAAATGGCAGTTAATTCATGTCCAAGGGGAGAAACCCCTTTGCCTTATTAAATCTGATCCAACTACGTCAAATTTCAATTATCTGACCAAACAATAGCTATCGGCGAAAAAAGTCGCATGCATTAATGTTGATGTGTCAATTTACATATCTTAGTCACATATTGTTATTTATGTGCCTTCTTCATTCTTATTTCACATGGTGCCGAATAACAATGAAAAGTATTGCAGTGGATATACCGCTCTTCATATTGCAGCAAAATATAAATATAAAGAAATTATCGAACTTCTTATTTCATCTGATAAAGAGATTTCTTCGATTATATGAATCGTAAAGATATAACCAATCTTCTTGTTTAACATGGTGAACAAATTTGGAAAATATGTAATAAACATTAGGCCAAAACCAACTCATTTTCCTACGTGAAGTCTCCTAATCTTTTTGATGCCTCAAAAATTTAAATAAGAGACTTTATGAAGGAAAATGAGTTTAATATTAAAAAGTTCTTAAATAAAACAAAGCATTGGACCAATTTTGTAACTTTCTTTCATGATTTTGATCTCAAAATCAATCCCTTAGCTACTGATATTTCGAGGATCAATAAAATAAAAATCCAAATATGTAAGTTTTGCAAAAAAAATGATGTTTTGTAGTTATAGTTAGTAACCAATAAAAGAATAATGAGTTAACAAATAAACAAAAAAGAATTTAAATAAAGAAAATTAAAAATTCAAACAATATAAAATAAAAAACAATAAAAATTAAATAAAAAATCATCCGCGTAACTCGAATTCTTTCTCTCTTTCAAGATATGGAGACAATGTGAGTGGAATTACAGCGACTTTCATGTTATTCTTTACTGCGTCGACCATTTTCAGTGTTTTGTAGTTTCCACATGGTTCGTACTTCTCGTCCAAGCAGTAGATGTCGTATTCCTTGCATGAAGTAACGCCTTCAGGGAATTTCTTGGGATCAGCGAAATCAATGAAAGTTTGGCCTTCTTCTACTGGAAGTAAGAATGGTTCGCCAAAGAAGCTGAAGTGTCCGTTCGATGAATTGACTGTTCCTGTGCAAACTGTGATTTCCATGATATCTTCTTTTGGTTTGAGTTCAAATCGATAGTGGCAGTGTTTATCATCACAGGAGGTGTCGATATCGACAAGTGTCCATGATGAACCACCATCAATTTTTCTGATTCTGTAATCAAAACCGAGATCTTCCCTTTTTAGGGCTTTTAGAACATCACGGGGTGTATAAGGAGCATCAACAATGCATTGTAAGAGTTCGTTGACGTGTATACCGTCCTTTGAAATGGAAACTCTGATTAATCCGTAATTATATTTGTTATTAAACAGTTTCCCTCGATATCCTTTGAATATTTCGAAGTATATTGTTGTATATTTCTTGATGAGCGCATGTAAAGCAAGATTTGTCATATAAGGGTCCCAAATATTTGCCCATTGTTGGTTAATTATTGGTCTTGTCTTCGGAGAGTGCTCATATACAACAGGGAATACGAGGAGATCATCCTGATCCTTATCGTAGTCAAGGTCGCAGCATTTGGCTAAGAATTCCGCGAATTTCGCATAATTCAAAGTCGATGCCACTTTTATGAAAAATGGCTTCTGGTCAATTGGTCCGAATCTGAATACTTTGAAGTCCCATGAGTAGTAGTGAGTGATGTAATACCTCTCAAGGGTCATTATTCTGTTCTCGGGATAGTATTCTTCCAATGTTCTGACGGTGGAATTCGGAGGATCTACGACAAGAGTCTTAGCATTCTTAGGAACAAAGATGAGGAATGTTCCATGTTTGAAGTTGTTGTTACTGTTTACATCGGAAACTAACGTTGGAGGACTTTTGTCGAATTTATCAACATATACGTTAAAATCTTTTGGAGTTAGCGACCTTGTGTCTTCTAATTTGCTTTGCAGCAGTTTGATGGTCGATGACATGATACCAGAGATCGGTTCATCGTTGGACATCGTTCTCATTAAGATATAAGTGAATTTCGTCTTCGCAGGATCGAAATATACAAGGAATACACGAGCCTGAGACTTCCTGATATCAAATGGCTCGTTGTAATCTATCTGGTCGAGGAATAAAATCTTATCATTCAATTCGTACAACATTCGTTTCGGATCATTAGGAATTATTGTTCCTAATAAGCTCTTTTTATTGCGTATCCATAATCTGAAATTATCTGAATTTTTATCCAAATAATTTTCACATTCGGTTTTGACGGCTTCGTAAAGTTTTGAAAAAGTATCTTTGGTCGATAACTCTACAGAAAATCTATCAGTCGCATTACTCGGTTTGAAGCCAATGAATCCATTATCAATACTATTAGCTAAGTTACCGGTTGTTCTGACTTCGAAAACTAATTTTTGCTCTGTAATTTCTTTCGGACAGACAGGAGCGTCGGATTTGTCCGGCATCGTAGGAATTACGGACATCTCGTCAATGCTATCCTTCCTGACAAACGCTAGAACATGAGGATGCGCGTATTCTTTATTTATGTTCTGAATATTGTATTTCGTTACTCTGGCATCGTTGAACAAGTAGAAATCTTTGTCTGTTACATTAGGTCGAAGACATGAATAGAAATGGCCACTCTGGCTGTTTCCGTGGTACCAAATAATACAATATAGCTCATATTCAGCACAAGTCTGTTCTTCTGATACGTATTTCGATAGACTAAGTGTTGTAGGTAAGTCATGTACTGATTGTTCGCTGTTTGATTGAATATATGACGTTGAAATTATCAAAATTTTCGGTAAAGTCTTAAATTTGTATTGTTTCGATACCCCTGTTTCTGTAATTATTTCACTTCGATCGTTTTTGATGTTTTCTTCGAAAGATAAATTTTGATTTATGGAAATCGGCCAAGTTAAGCATCTTTCGAGCCTAACAATGCTCTCACCATCTTTCTTGATGTTGCTGAGCTGTTCGAAACCAAAGATATTGCTTATTTCTGATTTTGCGGAATTATCATTTAATGTTGAGAAAATTCTGTCTAAAAACCAATGGGAATCATTCATTTCTATCTGCGTGGCATTTACCAATGAAAGCGCATTAAGTAACTCGTCAATTTGTATGGCATTTGTCATTTTTTCGTCTTTTCTTGTATTTTCTTTTTTTTCTTCGAGAAGAATGAAGGTTTTTCGTAATGCTAGTAGCAGGGCTTTCGACTGATCATCGCCCATGTTTAAGTAGGAGTCGATAGAGTAAATAATCTTTCGGAAAGCGGGAATATGAAATAACATTTGAATATTAACGTTGATATAGCAATGATTTGATAAATTTTCAATGCCTCGATATAGTATTTTCGGGTCTTCTAGTATATGCGGTGGTTTTTTGATATTTTTGATGATGACTAATAATTCAAAAGTATTATAGCCCAAATCTGTATCCCAATGCAAATTTTTAAAGCACAAATCAAAGGTGTTGTCTTTGTTAACATCTTGGTACATTGTTATGTTTTGGTAGCCAGGAATTGGAGATTTATTGATTGATGGGTCTCGAAAAGTAAAATTAAATTCTAAATGGCGAAGGGCTTCGAATTTTTTCCAACTGTGGACTCTGAGTGTTACATTGCTTGAATGATTCTCTGGACGGATCATCGAAAATGTAAAATTCCAGCTTTTTTTGTAGGTTGTGCGATCTTGGACAAAGGTAACCGTCCTTTCATCGCTATACCAATCTTTGATCGTCCACGCTGATAAAAATATTGTTTCTTTAGCGCCATCACTGAGAGTCATCTTTGTCTTCAATAAAAAAAATTGAGTTTACAATAATCGTCTTGATTTCCACCGAATAATTACCAAATTCATTGTAATTTTGTATTAAATATACAGTATACAGAATGTATCAAATTTAGTTGTGGTATTTGCAATGGAAAAATTGAAATTTCATCAAAGAAATGGCAAGTTATTAAAGATTTAACTCTATTTAAAATGTTATGGATAACAAAAAGAATGATCTGTTCTGTTTTTAGGGTTATTTCATTTAATGAAACATTAATTTTGAAATTCTAACAAAAGACAAATATATGACTTTCAGATTATTAAAAATATGATCAATATGTGGAATATTTGATAGATGTTCATTCGCATATTCTATAGAAGGATATTCATTACTTGAATTATTTTGATTGTGCGGATCTGTTGATTATTTCAAGTTATTAATATTGAAATTTAACTCAAGAATAACTACATGATGCCTAGAATTTTTGTTTTCAAGAAGAAAACGAGATAATGAGGGAATGTTTGAAAATTAAAAAACCAGATAAAGAACACATGGAACATGCAATTATTTTGCATGATATTGACCTTGTTTCATTCTTGATGAGCCAGAACAATAATGAAATTGATTATTTAATCATGTTACATTCTTGTTTGATCATAACAAGAAATTAATGATGTTTGGCATTCAATCTTGTTTTGAATATTTCCTTTCACAGGGTGCAAATTTAAATGAAAAAAGTGAATGTGAAAATATAGCTCTTCATAATGCGGCATGTAATTATAACAAAGAAACAGCTGAGCTTGTTATTTCACATGGAACAAATGTCAATAAAAAAAATAAATATGGTATGATGTCTCTTCATATTGCAGCATGTTGTAATAAAAAATTATAGAACATCAAATTTTACTTGATGTAAATTTCAATTAAAATGAGAAAGATGTATGGATTCCCCTTCACAGTACAGTAGAAATAAATAATTCTGGCTTATTCTCTATATTGAACTAAAGCAATGAAACATTACAACTTTTTATATCATGCAAGATACCAAATTATGAGCTACAAATGTCTATCTCAATTGTTAATCGAATTGAATATTAACTTGAACATATTTGAATGCTATTGAATATAAATTCAGCTCTTAAATTGTAGCCTCATAGATATAAATGAAAAAAAAAAAAAAAAGGTAGTGGGGCCTCCAGGCACTTCGTGCCCTCTAGCCCTGAAGATGTTTAGTATAAATGAAGTTTTTTGGGTACTGGGGGCTTCCAGGCGCGTTGCGCCCTCTAGCCCATAAAAATTTTTGGTAGAGCACTCAAAATAGTATAACTTTGTCCGGACAAGTAAGGGTCTATCGTCGCTACAGGAAAAGTTACAGGCGTTCCAAGGAAGTATACTTTGAGAAGCCTTTTCTGTCACTTTTCAGGTAAAAACATTTTTATTATTATATATAAATGAATTTTACAAAACCCCCGTTACCGTTCTTTGGAAATAAGAGTAGATGTAAAGATATTATATTGAGAGAACTTAAGAAACTACCGAATGGTCTAACATTTGTAGATTTGTTCGGTGGAAGTTTCTATATATCCCATTTATGTCATACCGTATTTCCTGACTCAAAGATTATATGCAATGACTTCAACAACTATATGGACCGTCTCAAACATATACCAGATACAAACAATATATTGAAAGAGTTAAAAGAAAAGATACCTATAGGTAAGATGGAACGTATACCATTAGATAAGAAAAATATTGTGAGAGAGGTTTTGAAAAAAGCAGAATATATAGACTGGGATAGTATATCTGCTAGACTATTATATAGTGGTTCTATAAGAGTTCATGACATTGAAACACTTATGTCAAATGTTTTATATCTTAACTATACAAATGTTTTCAAAGAGGACATAGAAAAATATATTGAGGGTATAGAGTTTGTGAGATGTCATTGGACAGAGTTGTATGAAAAATATAAAGACAAGGAAAATGTTTTCTTTATAGTGGACCCGCCGTTCTATAACACATGGGATTTTCAATACCAAGTAGACTGGACTTTGAGAGACTCTTTAGAAACTTTAGACGTTTTACATAACTGTCCATGCTTTTACTTTACATCCGATAAAAGTGGTTTGGAAACCGTTATGAGATGGTTAGAGGACATACATGACTATGAGTTTAGATATGACAAGATAGAATATGAGAGAGGTCCTATAAACCGGAGAAAGTGTCATAACAAAGAAATTTTACTAGTAAGTAAATGTGGTTTGAAATAGGACTACTTGTTTTAGGTTTTTTCCATTGTGTCATTTATTTCTTTGACGTGGCAGAAAAGTACAGAGAATATGAAGATGAACCAATGCCTGCAAATGTTCAGCATATGTACTCGTAAGAGATATTTTTATCTAATATTAAATGGACGCACAGAACTTAGCGAATGCACAGCAACCTGGACAACCAAACCCAGAGAATATTCCAAATGAAGTTAGAATACAAACTGCAATGGCAAACTATGGTCAAGTGCCGTTGGACATACACATACCATTGCAAATATTACAAACTTACAAGAAACCTTAAACAGGAAAAGTGCCGTTGGACATACACATACCATTGCAAATATTACAAACTTACAAGAAACCTTAAACAGTAAAAGTGCCGTTGGACATACACATACTATTGCAAATATTACAAACTTACAAGAAACCTTAAACAGTAAAAGTGCCGTTGGACATACACATACCATTGCAAATATTACAAACTTACAAGAAACCTTAAACAGGAAAAGTGCCGTTGGACATACACATACCATTGCAAATATTACAAACTTACAAGAAACCTTAAACAGTAAAAGTGCCGTTGGACATACACATACTATTGCAAATATTACAAACTTACAAGAAACCTTAAACAGTAAAAGTGCCGTTGGACATACACATACCATTGCAAATATTACAAACTTAAACGTTAGCCTTGAAAAGAAAGCAGACAAGAACCATACACATTTCGTTTCAGGATATACACAAACAACGGGACAAAGTAAAGACTACATGCCACCTTACATGACAGTTTACGCATGGTATAGAATTGCTTAGTCGTCATTTTCAACTTCTTTAGCATATTCGTCAGGAGTTGTCTTATATTTGTTAGGAACTGTCTTTGAAAGTATACCACCTTGAACTTTGACAAGTTTGAAACGAGGTCTGACAATAGTAGTTTTATCTTCTGCTTGCAGTCTGTACATTTTGCCATGTTTGCCTAAAACTTCATAATATTCTCTTGTATACTTTCTTCTATTTTTACGAACACGAATGTGAGTACCTGTCGGGTTCCCATTGTTGTCATAGTCAATAGTATTTTCATATGGGTCGCGTTTAGGTATTTCTATTTTTACTTTGTCACCTTTCTGAAGTTTGAAGCCCGGCATTCTTTCTTGTTTGTCTCTTTTGACTAATTATTAAATATATAGTCTTTCTCTAAGTCGGGGTTGTTTTTCATTTCTTCGGGGAGTGGTTTCCCAAACCTTTTTGTTTACGGTTATTGTAAATATTTAAAACTTGTCTCATCTTTGCCATGGAGAAGTGTCTATATTTGTCGTCATATGACATTTCATTTGCTTCACCACCTTTGGTTGGTTTAAGTCTCTTAACATTTTATACAACCGTCAATGACACCAAGAGCAGAATGGTTTTGGTCGACAATGAAATATTGGTTTACATTTTTGAACGCAGATAGTTTTTAATATCGTCTGATTTGAAAGAACTTTCACAGTCAGATGTCAGTTTTGTTGGATGGTATTTGTCAACGAATATTGTCAAAGCAGTTTTCACATCTAAAATATTTTTGGACCATAATGGTATGGCTTCACAGTATCTTGTGTTTTGACCGACAAATATTAGCCAGTATGGAGGTCCATCTGTTCTAACTCTCGGAATGTTTTCCAAGATATCCATAAACCAAGCATTTGGTGTTGAACTAAAGATTTTTACCATGAGTGCTTTCTTTGTCGCTTTAGAAACATAGGGGTCCTTGTTTGAATTCGTCATTTTTTAACCCATAAGAAATGGGTTTATTTGGCGCATTAGCAGGAGTCGCATCCAGATTTTTGCCCGCAGTGGGAACAATAGCCAGAGGTGTATTTGGAGTTGGAAGGAAGATTTTGAGTACATTAGGTATACTTAAAGAGAAAGCACAACCTATTATACAAACTGTACAGAAAGGTTGGGATGTAGCACGAGATGCAACAAATCTTATTCCAAATCCTGAAACAAGAGGAAAAGTTCAAGGATGGATGGACAATGTAGGAAGACAAGCAGGAAACTATTATAACAAAGCAAATGACTACTATAACCAAGCAGGACACTATATGGACCAAGGTGAAAGATTCTTTAACAGAGGATATAACCATGCACAACAGTGGGTAAACAATAACCAACCGCAACCACCTCAAACTTGGGGAATGTAAAATTTTTTACTGAGATGAAATGAACAATACAGCATTGAGACAAATGGGTTCAAGATGGATTTGTCGGCTTCCAGCAGTTACACAACGTGTTTGTCAAGTTCTTCCTATACCTCAGGAAGTTTTAGACCGACTTAAAAAACAACAACAACCAGTTGAAAACAAACCAAACTAAAATTTTTTACTGAGATGAAATGACCGAAGAAGTTGAAACGGTAGATTTGACACCACAAACAAAAAGTTCAGAACCATTGTCAAAACCCGTCAAAGAACTTACAGATGAAGAGAAAAATTCAATAATAGAAAGTGCCAGGTCTGGAAATACAAACTCTAACTACAAAGTCACTTTTCATAAAAAATGGAACGGCTAGTATCTCAAAAAAGAAACAGACTCTCACAAATAAAATATTGAAGTCTGAAGGAGCTTTCGAGACAACAGATGGAAAAGTTTACTTCACTGACCAACAGTTCATTATAGAACATCTCATTGACTTAGAGTCGAAATATTCTAAACTTTACAACAAACACAAAAAGTTGAAAGGAAAACAAAAACAAATGGCATATGATATTTATGAAGATGTTGACGACACAACTGTTCCTGCAAGTGAAGTAAAGTCAGAGGAACCGAAAAGTGACGAAAAACAGATAGAAGAAGAGAAACCAAAAACTGAAATAAACCAAAACCAAAGTTTAGTTTCCAAACTAAACCAAGTCAACCTTCATTAGCTGGTATGGGTTGGCGTCAAAGACTTATGGCAGCAGGCGGTTATGTAAAGTAAAGAAAAAATATTTTTTTTTTTTATAAAAATGCTCCATATAGAATGGATAGAAAATCTGCTAGAATAAAAGCAGAGTTGCAAAGATATGGTTGGAGAGTTTCGAAGAATTTTAAATATAGGAAGGAAGACCCATAAAAGTCTATGACAAATTGTCTGGTCTTCGCTACGAAATGGATTTGGAAACAGCACGTGCCAATTATCCAAACAGACTAGAGAGGTTAGAAAAGAACGTCTTATGGACATGCTTTCGATGTTAGTGAACCTCAAGTTGAAGGACACGACGGCTTTGCCAGATTCTACTGGAAACATGACGAACAATTGCATCCTTTGAGAAGGAAAAAAGGTAGTGCAGAGGATGGTCATGTCCCATGGAAAAGAACAAGATATGCATATGAGAAGTACCGTGAAGTTAGAAGTCAAATTACTTCTGGTCGAACCTTTACAGTAAACTTTGACGAAGGAAAGAACAAAGAAGGCTTCATGGGTGTACTTGCTGCCATACAAGACGGAAAAAAAGGACACAATCTCAGATTGACCATAACAGATTTGGATGGTCACATTTACTATGCATATGGCAATGTCACAACAGCTGCAATGCTTCTTGACGCTTTCAAGACTACAAAGAGAGAACAAATGGTTGACTCCGACTCAGACATTTTG